CTCAGGTCCCTTACGACCCTAGAAACTATGAAACTATGATTGATGCAATGTAAATGCAAACTCTTATATTTTATTTTCTTAATAAAGTGAATAAACTTGCAAAAGCAAGGAGGTCTTTAAAAAAAGGCCGTTCCATTATTCAGAATTCATTCTGCTGTTGCCAGTTTTGACAATACGTGATACTGTATGCACATTTATCCATTGTTCTGCTACCACATAGAGAAAGGATTATGTGTTACTATTTTTTACCCTGTGCGGCTCAGCTATGGTTCCCAGGCCATTTTTAACTCATGATTTTCCTGATTTGGTAGATTACATTATATCTGATTCCTAACATTATTTTGATTCTTTTGATTCGTTTCCTTATATATGAGGAAAGGTAGGAGGCCTCGCAGTATCCTTTCAGTGCCTTATTTTCAGAGGCACTAGACACCCAAAATCTAATTGAAGTTAATTGAAATTGCAGGTAGTTCTGCTTCTTTAAAAATCAGATGGATGGTGGTACTTTTCAAAGCATTTTAATGAGTTACCAAAGATCAAAACCAGGTTTATTAAGCCTGTAAAGAGGGGCTTGTTATATTAAACAAAAGGATCTTTTTGCATTTGCAGGGTCTGTTAAACCTTAACAAAGTTATTCTGCTATTGCTTCTTATTAAATAAGAAAGCAGTGATAATTCAAATGTTAATCATGACCATTTTAGAACTTTTATTTTAAAAATAGTGTTTAGAAATAAAGGGGGGTTGGTCTATTTTACAGACTTATTCCCTGTGAATTTTATATAAAAAATAAACCTAGTATTATAGTTGAATATGGCAAAGCAGAGCTTTTGACCAAAATATACTGTAGATCTGTGTCCTGGAGTGAACTTCAGAAATGGTTTAACATACAGAAACAATTTTGTTATAATTAGTTGTGCTTGCTGCTGTGCAGAGAGACCTAGGTTAGGTTGACCTGTTTTGGTGACTTGCACTGAAGTTGGTACACTGGACATAAAAAGGCGGGAGTTGGGACAATACAAAGCTGGGTTCCTTTGGGATGTGCTGTTACAGGTTGTGTTGATAACTTAGTCATGTTTGATTTTCCCCACACACTAAGATGGTAGCATTAGTCATTATAAAAAGCCTTGGAAGAGGATCTCCTGAAAACCAGAATAAGAGGTAAGCTATAGAAAGGGTTCTTCAGGAGAGGAATATCTTATCCAAAACAGGCTATTTCATAACATTCAGGGTTTTGATATGAGACTATAAGAGAAGGCCAAAGACACCAACATACTAAGCATATTTGAGTCATATCAGCCACAAGAAACCCTAATGAGCTCTTTTTTGCATACCAGTTTCAGTACATGTGGGTACAAAAGAGATCTAGGAAGTATGCATGATGTATGTACTGGAATACATGGGAGCTTACTGCTCAGTTCTGATTCTATACTTCTGTACGTGACAATTAGAGTTCTGTTTTAATGTAGTCCTATGCATGTTTCTTCTGTGCTCAACAGTATTCTGACAGAATGTATCAACTATGTGTTCCTAAGGCTTAATCCTACATCCACTTCAATGAGAGCAGAATTTGGCTCACAATCTTGGTTCTTTTCTGGCATTTTCCATCAGATACTACAGAAGGTTGGGCTATGGAAAGGACTATCTGCTTTCAGATAGAATTTGGTAAATAAGAAAAAAGCAATTTCATAATCCTACCTGTTCATCTCAAATGATTAATTTCTACAATTAAAAAAATGCATCCAAGCTAATAACTTGCATGCCACATTTCAACATAATGTGACATGCAGTGAATGAGTAATGATAACTCCCTGAAAATGCTGATAAGAGAAATGCTGACAGATCCTAACTATTACATGTTAGTGTCAGTGTTATAATATTAGCATGATTACTGACAGATGTGAGCAGACCCAGAAACATAGAGATTCAGTAACCTGTACCACCAAAGAATTTTTTCATGAAAATGATAGGCTGTCAGAGAATAAATGCTAATAAATAGAATAGGTTTTTTTCAACTGCTCGTACAAATACCTGTTTGGTGTGCCATTCCTTGTGTAAAATGTATGTAAATACTAAGGCCAAGATAGTTTCAGAGTTCTTCACCTCTGAAAACTTGGATGTATTTCTGGTAAATGCACTGTACTTGACTGCAACTTCTTTCATATCCTTAAATCTGTGGAGGTTCAAATCTGTTGTGCAAGAATTGATTTTCCCAGTTCTTAGGTTTCAGTCTGTATAGTAAAACATTAATGGATATTTTGGTGAGCAGCTCTGTATTGCAGTGGGTGTGACTAATATTTTCCCCCTACATTTCCTCCTTTATCTTGGTTTTTAAACTTTGAATTTCTGTTTTAACAAATACGCATTTTTCTTCAGTCTTCCATGATTTATGATACTATAATAATAACATTTAGATCCAACTGGCAGCATAAGGAGAAAACACCTCTTCTAGAGTCTCATCTCACTCAAATAAGAGAGACTTTTTGTCCTTAATGTGACCACTAATGATATTTTTAGAAATCTGTTGGACTTTCCATTCTTAAAGAATGGCACATTCTGCCTTGGCATCTCTTTAAATATCCAGCAAACATAAAACTTTAAGCTTTTCCTTAAGATTACCTGAATGCTTTGCTGAACCAGTTGTTAACAGTCACACAAAGGACAGGTAACCTTTTCCAGCTGTGGACCAGAATGACCCTTGGGTCAGATGTGGGTGGGTGGGCACTAGGATCTGGTCCTTGCTGCTGCTTATCTCCGCAGTGGCACAGGGAGAGTGCTTGCAGTTGTACCTCCTGCCTCTGAATGCTCCCAAAGATGCATGCCTGTAGACTGGATCCAGCCTACGGACCCTATGTTGCAAACTGTGACTCAGACCTTTTCCCAACTATAATAGTTTATCAGCAGTTTCACTTCCGTTTCTTCTTCAAATGTTGATGCCCTGTTCATTTTCCTCTGCTGACAGTTTGTGTAGGTCACACTTTTTCATGTTAGAAGTTTGTGTTATGTCTTCCAGTTTACTTTGCCTGGATCAGACTATTCTGTAGTGATAGGAGACACCACTATTCTTTGGGACCTTACTTTCTGTCTTTTGTTTTCTGCTAGTAGAAATTCTGTCAAAGTTCATAGATAAATTATAATATTTTTTCTCAGGCACATTGAAAACCATGTTTTGTTTAGTTGATCTTTTTTCATCTGAAATTTTCACAAAACATTTTGAAAATGATTTTCAAAATGTTCTATTCTGACAAAATTGGAAAATGACAAATATGGCAATTATAGTCTTTTTGTTAATTTGCTTTCCTTTTTAATATTTTTCCCCTTTTAATCACTTCCATTTGCCTTGTGTTCCTTTTTCCCCCCCTCTTTTCAAGGAACTGAAAAAAATGAAGAAATTACAAAAATTAATAAAGAAAAATGTATTCAAAACCTATGAAATGGAAATGAAATCAGCGTAAAAGAATCATAGTAGCATTTTTTTACCATATCCTGTTTTGTTGTCCTGTGGATTTGCAGAAGGCTTCTTGCTAGAGATATATGGAGTCCCAAAACTGGGTGCCAATCCTTGTTCTACCCTTTTTCTGCTGTGTAACAGTGCAAGATGTTTCACCCCTCTGTGTCTGTTTACCTTTCATCTTCTGTCAGTTTAGATTATAAATGTCTTTACAGCAACAGTTGTTTCTCACTGTTTTTTTATGCTGCCTAGCACAATGGAGCACTTCTTGGTCAGGGGCTGTTCATATGATTGTACATGTAAAAGCTGAATTAGAGTTAACACAGGCAGTTTTATCGGGGAAGAGGTCTGTATAAGGATTGATCTGCTATGCATGTTCTGTATGATGAACTATAGTGATTGGTCAGCTTACTGCCTTCCTCACCCAAAGTCAGTGTAGCCAGGTGGGCATTATTTCAAAGCCAGTTACACATTTTTATTCTGTCAACATTTTGGTATGTCTTTTGGCTCACATACAGGCTGTTCAGCTTCCTCGTTGCCACAGTTCAGTTTGGTATTCATTGCTAACCTTTTGCTGTAGAAAATCATGCATGAAGCTGTGTTTCAGGTTTGATCATTTAATAGAACCCCCATAGTACTGCTATATTTAAGTTTTCTCTGTTATTACATTGAAGGATAAAACCTGCCCCTCTGCATCTCAAATCCCAGACTGCGTTTGCTTTTCCTTTTGAACCATATACCACATGTAGAAGGCAGCATCGTGTAACGAATTTGATCGTGAATCTGTCTGTTGGCTTTGAAGTTTATCTGTAGTGTTCTTGTTTAGATGAATTTCTGAAATAACATTTATCCCTTTCAGAAGAGTATTTTGTTGCTGAATGATTTGTTCCAAAGGCCTCCTGTTGTCAGGTGTTGAGACCTCTTAACTGCCTTCTGAATTCAAGGTTGTACAGTATAATTTTACCCAGTACTTCTCTCTCATGTTTTTTCTTTTAAGCTTCTCACAAGTTTCCACTGTAAAGATATTTAGCAAGGTATTCATCACTAGATATCAGTGTGTCAGCCACAAATAAGGTGGATATTACTTTGCTTCCTTTGTATGTTTACATTGGCAAAGAACATGTCTTTGTTTTGAATTGCAGATTTATTGTGAATACATCCCAGTAATAGCAAGGTCATATTCTATGTGCATTAAAAATCACAGTAGGTATCATTGGACATCTATACACGTGCCTGATGCCTGCTCTGATACGTTCTAATTAGAATGTGTTGGAGCAGACTCAGTTAATTGAGTCTCTGTTGGCGCAGTATAGGATGGGGCCTGATGTATCCTGGATGTATCGGGTCTGGCTCTTTTTTGGCGCTCCAACCCCCCCTACACGCCAGCTTAGTGCTACCCTGTTCTTGCATCTGTTGCACCCTCATCTCTCAATAGGCAGTCTTCAGCTGTTCTATATCTCAGTTGGTTTGTGCATGTCTTGGACCTGGCTTACAGAGGTTGTGACTGAGTCGATCCTCTGATCAGTCGGTTACCATTCCATCAATGGACAAAGAAGGTAAGATAACTCAAACAATAAAAAGAAACATAGGTAAGACTTGACTGAGGGCGTCAGTGCTATGTACTTCTTCTCTCCAGTTCTTAGGGCTGCCGGTCTTTCTCCACTGCCCGGTCCTTTCCCAAAGTAACACAGTGAATAAAAAGGAAAAGAAAGGGGCTCCCTTTGCCCCACTTGGGCATTTCACAGCCTTAGATGCTTCTGCGTCAGACTTCAAAGCTTCAGTGGCCCCTGCCACTTTCCCCAGGTGTGGCAAGTTTGTCCACCAGCCCACATTAGCTCAGC